GAGAAGAGAAACGGGCATATCTGGCCCGATTCTCAACAGAATCAAGCGAGGTAAGAGTCGAAATTGGGGTTTTGACATGTTCTGGAACAGATGGCCGTGTTAGAATTCCAAATCGAGCGACGGCCTGGTCGGTATCAACGGTAAAGGCCGCGCGTGTGAGGATGGCGGGTGCATCTTCCCACGATCGGGCAGAAGATTCACTCGACTTCTCTCGTCCGGCCCAGGGAAGCAGCCACTCTCTATCTCCCTGCGCATGAGACTTGAAGGCGGTGTAGTAGTAGGGGGGAGATTGGGAAGCGAAAGAGAAGGAGGGCACATGAGGCACTAGAGAGCAGGAGGGGCGTGAAGTGCGGTGCTCATGGTGGCCATCTCAGCGGCAGATTCGAAGGTAATCATCTGCTGTTCTTGTCAGCGCTCGTGATCCGGTGGCCCTCTTCACCGTCGGGTTGGAGATTTACCTGTTGAAAGGAAAGTAGAGTAGGTACGTCGCTGCTCCTTGTGCCCGTTTCGTGGTTGTGGTCGTCTTCTTCATCCTGGTGATCGCCGCCTGAGTCTTCTACTCGGTCGCTGCTCGTTGCTCTCACTCCCAGCTTAGCTCATCATAGTGGGCGTTGCTAACAAGTGGACCTGACCATAAGGGCAACCACGTACAGACAGAGAGAGAGAGAGAGAGAGAGAGAGAGAGAGAGAGAGAGAGAGAGAGAGAGAGAGAGAGAGAGAGAGAGAGAGAGAGAGAGAGAGAGACCACGGGGGCTGCGACATCGATTTGCAGGTCAGTTTTTGAGTCCTTTCCCTTTGTTTTTGGATTTAGGACGGACTTCCTGCCTGATGCACTACTTTCGTTTGGGTGTAGAGCAGGCGAAGCCACAAAGTTAGAACAACGTCTCCAGCTATATATCACGAATGGTAAGCAGTGGTAGAGAGCGTAGGGGAGGAGGCAATGAGGGAGGACGGAGAGGGAGAGAAGAAGTTAATGAGGAACAGGAAGAAGAGAATACGAAGAAGAAGGAGGTTCGGAGCGCTGTTACGTACGCCAGAGGTGGTAGAGACAGGTAGTAGTGTACCTCCGCACGAGCTGACGACAGATTCGTTGTCATTTTGTACACTTGGTGAGTAGTGGGGAGCCGCCCTCCGTAGCACGCTGCAACTCGTCGGCTTGATTATCATGGTTGTAATCCTCTTGCTCATTTTTGTAGTTCCCGAGTTGTCACGTCAGATCTTTATGGTTGCTGTGTTCGCATGCTTGTGTGTATCATGATGGCCGTTTGTTGACGTCCCGATCGTGATCGTGACAGTGTTGCTCGTCGCTGCAGTCTCAGTGCAACGCCATCATGGTGATCCGCATGGTCCGTGTGCTAGTTTGCATCTAGCACTGTAATAGTGGTTGATCCTACAGTCCTTTCATTAAAGTGAAGCAGTGTATCTTCCCATGTTCTAGCGGGAGATTCATATTTAAGTGGCACCATGCATTCTTCCGTAATCTAGTGGAAGATTCGGTCTTCTTTTGCACGTACCTGTCGTTCACAGTCGGCCAACTCAGAGGGGGGGTCGTGTCGGTGCTAGCAGTGGCCACCGAATGTAACTCACTTCTTCCAATCGAATTGGGGAAACCTGGCGAGGTACATTTTGCGAGGAGAAAGGAAATCAGTGGAGAAAAGGATGTAGAATGAAAGGAAGAAGGTCCAAGAAGGAAAGGCAGGGAAGGATCTGGTGCAGAGTAAAGAGACCAAGAGTTGATAGAAGGAAGGAAGAAGGTGACGAGGCACGTACCTGGCTACGAGCCTACGACGACAATCTGCATGGACGACGTCAGCATATACTCTGGTTGTTGTTACACAGCGAGGCTGCCTTCCCACTGTGCTGGCTGCTGGGTGGCGTTACTTTGACTGTGCAAGCGGCTCCCCACTGTGTTAGGGTCTGCCGTGCACATTGTTGGGCACACTGCCGAGCTTCGTGATGTGTAATATTGTGGGCATCTCAAAGTTCTGCACTAGGGGCGCACGTTGCTGTGCACTTATTGATTCAGAAGCACTTGTCGCGCACTTGCTATAAACCTCTGCTTTATACACAGTGTTCTCAATGAGCTTACGTTGTGCATTACACTGCACCTAGCTGTTGCGCACGACTGTTGTACGCATTGTGCCCTTGTTGTAGTTTGCTGCGTTCCCAGTTGCGCTTTGAATAGAGCACAGGGGGCGGATGCATTATTCAGACGTGGCCTTTCTAGGCTGCGTAGCGGCGGTCTGATCGGGGGGTATGGCATTGCGATTCGAGAGAGTGGTCAGGCTTGCCAAGAGGGTCACTCCTGCGACTTGGAGGCTCGTCAGAGGGTTGTTGCGCTGCGTTTGGGCCGTGGCTCGACCGCCTCTATTGCGTTACTGGCCGTCATTGCGGGGCCCTCAGGCGAGTGAAGGTATCAAGGCCCTCTCCTGAGAGTTGAGTTGTTCCACCCTTGGATCTCGAGAGTTTGAACTTTCTACTTCTACCTTTCTTACTCTAAGTCTAGTCTGAGGCTACGAGAGGAGGGCGGCAGGCGGGATTGCAACCCGTAGGTCCGTGCCAAGGCCTCTGTGGGAGGTTGCCCCACCGATTGCGGGAGCTCTGCCGGAGCCCAGGCGGGGTTCTGGAGGCAGGGAACACTCAGGTATAACCCTCGATTTACGCGTGTGAACCTATCATTAAACTATATTATCCTATTGCTATTGGCCTGACTGTAAGTATGAGATACCAAATTGCAAGGAAGATGAGCAAGAGCGAACTCCAACAATCAAACATCACCATACATATGAGTCCGGATAGTCTTGACCTCGAACCAACCGCAGAATTGCATCACGAGATACACCAAATAAGAACACACCAAGAGTTCATAATTGACAATGCGGAAATAGTCCCATCATCATCAATGAAGAACCAGAGTTGATATCCTATTTTGCGCTCGGCGCCCAGACTACATGTGGCAGATCCTATCTAGCCTATACTACGAAGCCGAAAGATGACATCAACAGCATTCCCGAAGTACGAGCATA